GGCATAACGTTATTGAGCCTCCCAGGTAAAGTCTACGTAAGGGTGTTAGAAAGCAGGTGCCGTGAAATACTTTACCTCAAGATCCAAGAAGAGCAGTGTGGCTTCCGGCCCAGTCGAAGCACCTCTTAGCCCTGCGCCAGATTGTTGAGAAATCGTCGGAGTACGCCTGCGGTGTACATGTGTTTTGTTGACCTAGAAAAAGCCTGTCAGCGGATCTCACGCAACAGTGTGTGGTCATGACTTCGAGCATACGGGATAGATGGTCAGCTGCTAAGGGCTATCCAGTCACTGTATTCTGATAGCAGGTGCTGCGTCAGAGTTAATGGCGTTACGCCGGAATCTTTCAGTGTTGGCACTGGTCTCCGCCAAGCTGCGTCCTGTCCCCTCTCTTGCTTGATGTACATGGATAGAATAGTCAAGAACACTCAATGCGATGAGTGTATTAGTGTAGGAGATGTGGAGATGTGAAGGTTGCTGTTTGCAGACGGCCTTGTTTTATTGGCATCTTGTGAAACTGATCTACAGCACTCCATAGAAAGAGTGACTGGCATGCGTGTTGGCGCATTTAAAACGCATCTAGTGCCTTCTCGTTCGCTTGCCCGGTGTTCTCTTCAGATCAGCGGAGAAGCAATGGAGTAGTTGGAGAAGTTCAAGTTCCTCGGAGTCGTATATACTAGCGATGGAAAATGTGAGGAAGAGATCTACAGGCGAATTGTAGTTGTGAGTAGGGTTCTGCGTGAATTCGCCTGATCCATCGTGACTAAAGGAGAGCTCAGTGTGAAAACTAGGCTCTCAGCGTTCAAGTCGATCTTTATCCCGATGCTTACCTACGGTCATGAGTCATCGAGCATGACTAAAAGACATCGAACCCGGGTACAGGCTGCTGAAATGGGCTTTCTTAGACGAATCGCTGGCCTTACGCTTTCGGCGATATGACATTGTCTGGAATACTGATATCCTGAAGAGCCTTGGTGTACAGCCTCAGTTTCTCCAGATTGAGAGGTCAGAGCTGCGATGGTTTGGGATTTGTTGCGATTGCCTCCAGAAAGGAAGGCTATGCAACTGTTTCTTGCCAGACCGACCGGAGAAGGGCCAGGGGGCGGCCAAGATTGACCCGATGCAAATATAAGGAGCCTGTTCCAGACTCCAGTTGTCTTCTGCCGAAGCTCGGACTCTTAGCAAGATCGGGAACCTTGAAAGCTGTGTGACGCATCTGCCTCTGCGACCCGAAAGGAGAAGCGACCATGAAAGATGAAGATGAAGACTATTGCTCATTAGCATACTGCTTTAAGCAACTCTTTCGTCATGCAAAAATATAATTGTTGAAGCTGTTGACATTTAGGCATGACCAGTCTATTCTAAAAATTACTCTTTTATTTGTTAGTGTATGTAGGAGTTAGAAAGCTGTCGTTGTCTCTATCGTGCCGCTGCTCCAGTCTGTTTTGCAGTGACTTCCTGCTTTCAGCATTTCACTAGAATTTTTTGATCCATAGTGCAAGCTACCCCAAACATCTGGTCACATTTTATATCATTTTTCATGTATTCAGATGGTGACAGTCTTGTTCATGCTTGAATACGCTTTTGTTAAGCCTAACTCATACACTTGCGGACTTTCGTCCTACGCTCTGTAGGCGCTTAATTATCATTTTGACGTGACTTGCTTAAATAGTCCCCCAAGGTGAATAGAAGACAGGGGGCGGTGCAGTATTGCGATATAACCCCGTGTAAGACTTCCATCTTTCGCAATTTCATTTTCGCTCTAAAGAAAGAAAGAAATTTTCCTTTCTTTATACGGTACATTTTCACCGTTTAAATCTGGTGCCATTATTTGGAATGTTATTTGATCCATTATAGTTTTCATCTCCTATGCTTTGGTAGTGCATTTTTTCCTCACCGATTACGACATCATTTTTTTGACTTCATAAAAAATTGACGAAATCTACATCCTAGTTAGCTGAAAACATTCTCTGCCGTGAAGAAGGAACGTGTGAGACAATAAATGAAACGTTGATTGAAATACCCTTTCCCCCACCACACTCAAATTTTTCAATCGATCAGATTATGATAATTCGGCATAAGATCTTTGTTAACAGTTTGGTTATTTGTTACTTTGACATGTTTGTTACAACTTGATTTGACTGATCCTGTTTGATATTTGTTTATCTTTTATTTATCTTTAAAAGCAATGTTCTATCATTTAAGTGATATATTTTTGTGCATTGAAGTTTTATTTTCAAGAAAGATGCTTGGTGGTTACAAATTCTTTGCGAACTGCTAAAATCTGTTCTTTATTGGAAATACGTCGATAACACTTCCCTTACTACTGCTGTAAGCCAGTAGAATGATGATTTGAATTCACCTACTAACGTTCCTGTTTCACGGAACGTGTCCGTTTCAAGCACTGGGCACCGAAGTGAGTGGGTCGGTTGAGAAGAGAGGGAACGTAGTCATATGTTTGTCTCGTATTCAAGATGAAGGGAAGGGCCTGGTGAAGGGCTTTTTTTGAATTGACCAAACTGCTTCATCG